CTCCTTTTCCCCCCTTCTTCTCCCTCTTTTCTCCCCATCTTGTCCCTCTTTCCCCCCCTTCTTCTCCCTCTTTCCCCTCTCCCTATTACTAACGGTTTACAACTCCTTGTTTCTCACCACCTATGTTCTGTTGTAGGGATATTCAACTGCTTGTAAGTTCTTTCTGGTACAAGCAATGGTGCTTACTCATAGTTTACAACCCTTCTCATCCTCCTGGTTGCTTTTCCATCCCTCTTTGCTGAGCTCTTTAGGTCCATTTTCAGCCCTTCATCCTCACAACCTGCTACTTTTAGCTCTATGTACCTGTAGTAAGTGCTCAGCTTTAACACGGTGACCCCATCTCTAACCTTACTCCTTGGAGGAAGGCCTGAAGTACTCGAGTTGTAGCGACAACACAGCCCCTTTCTCAATGGGAAGCCAAAAAAGGGGCTCTCAAACGTGGGTTTCTTGTGCCTCCTAAAGCAAAAGCAGCTACTCCCAGTTGTAAATGTTGCGTTGATACAAAAGGGGAGTAACTTAAGAAGGTTCTGAGTAGAAACAGAGCCACCCCCTTGCAAGAATAACCCCAAGAAAGAAGATATTTCAGCTCCAAACTCTTAGGTCGTGGGAGATCTGCCAAATATATCCTTGTAATTGAATAATCCATGGAAAATATCCTTGTTTTCCAGTGCTGGATGACTTCTACCAACCCCTGGGATTGGATTCTCTTACTCCATCCTCTGGAAGCCCCAGGGAGTGTGAGCCTGACTCCATCAGTCTTGCAACCGATGAGCTTCTAGCACTGCCAGCGGATGGATCCCAGCCTTTTCTCCCCCCTATTCCTTTGAATCCAAGGATTCCAAGGAGGGAATCCCTTAAAAGCTCTTCCTGCCCTTCCCAAACCTCAGGCCTGCCTTTGGGAAGAGGGTTCAATCCCCACAGGAACCCCCCCAAAGCCTTGAGTAAAAAGAAGCACACAGGAAGAGCCGGGCCTTTGGAAGAGGATTCCAAGGCTTTTCCTTGGGGGAATTATCCCAGGTGGCTCAACCAGTCGGATTTAAGTGTATCCGGGATAAGCAGCATTCCCAGTTCTCCTTATCCAGCCTGGCTCAAGACTTACAACCTCTTTAGTGATCCAGCTCCAAGTCCTGCTCCGGGTCCCACGAGTCAAAGAGAAGCTTCCTCTTCCCCGCTCCTGAAGCCAGGACCTTCTGATCCCGACAATTCCCAGTTTTCCAACCCAAGTGGTTCCTTGGAGCCGGGAGGTGATGAAAGGGAAGGAAGGTGCCACCCGGACACTCCACATGGGTGCTTCTCCCTGGAGACCTCATCTTGGGCCCACACTAAGCAGCTGTGGAGAGGTAACCGTGTAGTACGTAGCATTTGTGTTCCGTCTGCACCCTGTAGTAGTAACTCGCTTCTACTCTCCCAACTCAAAGCCCTTCCTAATAGTTGGCCAACTTCCCCACCTTTTACTCCTGGAAGTTGGCACGTATCCCATACTTCCAGGTCGTGCTGTGGTGAAACACAACCTCTCTTAGTTGAGGGCAGCAGCTCCTACTTGCTCCTGAAGGTCTTTGTGCCATCGAGTAACTAAAGGAGTAGTTTGGGGCCTCTACTCTCTGGCCTTGAGGTTACCCCAAAAGCCAGGTGGAAATGATGCTCTTCAAGATGTCCTTGTCTTGTAGAGCCCCAGCTCCTCCCCGTGCCTACTACAGAGAGGCCAAGCGAAGACGGAGCCCGTACGGAAAAGGATGGGAGTCCTGCTACAACAGAGATACTACAAGCTGGAAGACCGTGGCCCGAAGCTCCAGGTGCTTTGTAAGTTACTACCAACCCACTTCTCCCACCCTGTTCCTCCACTCTTACGTCCTTAGTTGCCTTTGAGTATGGATTCTGAGTAACCCTGGTGCAACTAAGGGCTTCCTATGGGATTGCTTCCTCCTGGATGCTTCCGTGGGGCTCCCATCCCCATAAGTACATCCCACCCCAGTTGTTGGAGGTCCTAAAGGTCTCCTTCTTCTCCGTTCCGTGTCCATTGTTCCTTTAGGAAGCCCTCTACGTGCTGGGAGGACCTGGAGCCTCCTTTGGCGTTGCCGAAGGTAGACCTGCTACCCAAATCCCTGGAAGACCGCTGGAGTGGCCAAGAGAAGGTGGGTCAA